CCCATCAGCAGCCTGCGGGAGATCACCCTGCTCCTGCAGCTTCGGCACCCCAACATTGTGGAGCTGAAGGAGGTGGTTGTAGGGAACCATCTGGAGAGGTGAGAGTCCCCCCCTCCATCCTCCCATCATCTGCTGCCCTTTCAGCCCACTCTCAGTCCCCTGAGCCACCTCTCGCAGCACAGACCTGCGCTGTGCTGTGAGCGCTGGGACACCAGAGAGGTGTCCTGGGGGAGGCTCCTGACTGCCTCTTGTTTACGACAGTATTTTCCTGGTGATGGGCTACTGTGAGCAAGACCTAGCCAGCCTTCTTGAGAACATGCAGACGCCTTTTTCAGAGGCTCAGGTAAAGGTTGGGCCAGGCTTCAGGTATATCGCCCCTGAGAGGGTGCTGCCATTCCAGCCAAAACACACTGGCCACCAGCATAGACTCCCTGGACCATGTGCTGGGCTTCAGCAGGGTTGGGGAGTGCCAAGCGAGCTGAGATTCCTGGCCCGTGTGTGGTGTCTGGGCTTAGCTGGCTGTCACGGAATGTTCCAGGGACTTTCCAGGCTGGGTTTTGGGCTGGAGCAAACTGGCAGAGAAACGGAGCTGGTAGAAAATGTGCCCTCAGACCCCCTGTGAGCTACTCTGGGAGGACACGAGGACTGACACACTGCAGAGCAGTGACAGGCGTGGCAGACTGCAGGGTACCTGAGTGGGTTTAATGTCTGGGCGTTTGCCTGGCTGTTGCTGCTCTTGCAGCGGTGGGTGCTCCTGTCCTCTGTCTCCAGGTGAAGTGCATCATCCTGCAACTCCTCAAGGGCCTGCAGTACCTTCACGAGAACTACATCATCCACAGGTGGGAGCAGCAGGATGAACGTGGGGAGAAGGGGCTGACGGGAGGGAGCCTGCCAAGCCCTCGGACCGCAGTGTCATTCTTTACCTCCCACACCCGTGTCCTGGGAGTGAGCAGCACCATGTGGAGTAGCTCTGGGGAGGGGGTTTGGTGCCAATCAGTGACTCCGTGGGGGAATGCTGGTGGGGCAGGGAGGCCACTGAATGGTGAGATTCACATCTCTTTGTGATCGCTCAGCTCCAGGGCTCTGCAGCTGCCTCTGAGCCCTGGGGAAGCGCAGGCACGGGAGGAGCCGTGCCTGAAGGATGGTGCTGACCAGCCTCTCTTTGTTCCCCGGCAGGGATCTGAAGGTGTCCAATCTGCTCATGACTGACAAAGGCTGCGTGAAGATAGGTGAGCCCCCGGCAGCTGCCAGTCTGTCTCCTACTGCAGATGTGCCTGCAGCTCTTCTTCTGCTCCATGACACGGTTGGAGCGAGGAGCTTGCCTCCCTCCTGATCTTGAGTCTCTGTTGCAGCTGATTTTGGCCTGGCACGCACCTACGGGATGCCACCAAAGCCGATGACCCCCAAAGTTGTCACACTCTGGTGAGTAGCCTGTGCTGGGGACTGAGCTGTGCTGGCTGTGTGATGCAGGTGAGTCCTTGCAGCGCGGTGGGGGCTTCCTTTGTGGCGGCTCTGCCATGGTCCCCTTGAGATGGTGCTGTCCCCTGCGCAGGTACCGAGCGCCTGAGCTGCTGCTGGGGATGACAACCCAGACCACCAGCATCGACATGTGGTAAGGAGAGGGCAGGAGGGGGCCTGCAAACCTGCACGGGGGTGGTAAATGGAGGGGCTTCTGCCCTCACTGACTCTTGTGCGTGCTCTGCTCCGCAGGGCCGTGGGCTGCATCCTCGCCGAGCTGCTGGCCCACAAGCCGCTGCTGACGGGCACCTCCGAGATCCACCAGATAGACCTCATTGTGCAGCTCCTGGGGACGCCCAACGAAAACATCTGGCCGGTGAGAGCAGTCCCCTGCGCCCTGCCTGCCCTGCCTGCTCTCCCGGCCTCCGCCTCACGCTCCGTCCCCCTCAGGGTTTCTCCAAGCTGCCCCTGGCGAGTCAGTACACCCTGCGGAAGCAGCCCTACAACAACCTCAAGCACAAGTTCCCCTGGCTGTCAGAAGCCGGGCTGCGGCTGCTCAACTTCCTCTTCATGTACGATCCCAAGAAGCGGTAAGAGCCGGTGGCAGCTCTGCGTGGGCAGGACCTGGGCCAGGCAAGGGAGGAGACCTGCCCGCAGACGGGGCTGCCCGCCGCAGGGCGG